AAATAAAGATAGGTCCTCGTATGAACGAGGAATTATGAAGCTCACTAAAAGATGGCAAAAGGTTTTTGAACAAAACGGGCAATATATCATTGATTGATCTTTGTTCTTTATATAAATAAATGACCTTTGTAAAACATAGACAAAATACGTCATGTCTTTTCTGACAACCCAATAGTTCCATTTCAAGGAAATTGGGAAATATAAAGGTTTATTTCACGTGGTACTCAAATCCCTGAAGGCCACATGTTTTAATTGCATAGAGGGCATCATACAGTCACCTTTGGTTCACTTCTTGACTCTGCTGATTGTTCCCTAAGTTTGTAAGGAGTCCGCTGTTTATGCAGCCTCATTTAAAGCATTCTTAGCTTTCTAGGGAAAGTACAACATAAATGAAATATTAGTTGACATTGTTACATTGAAATTCGATTAGTACCTCTTTTCTCCCCTGTCCATGTTATGTGAGGGTGATTAGAATGCTAAAAAATCAGGTGACAGTTTTCACCACATAGCAGTTTGCCCATGCATAAAGTTTAAATCTAGTTTGTTTTTTTTTCTTGAGTTGATAAAAGTGAGTTTGGTGTTGAAGGTGATAGGGAAAGGCTTCACCAGCTACCTTGGTAGGATCATTGTGGCCAAGAGTCTTGTTGACCTTTACAGGTCTAAGGATATCGTTTTGTCAGTAAGCCTGGCTGTAATGTGTGACATCTAGCTTTTTGGCTCCCCTCTTCTAGAACACAAGTAGAAAGAATTACCCTTAGGCACAAACCACACTAGTCTAACTCACAACCATCAGTTATGACACCAGACATCAGTTCATTAATTTACAATGAGAATTCTTAACTCTTCCAGTGTGCATTCATCTCCACTTTGTGTGATTCTTTATTCTTTGGAATATGATGCGTAAGAAGTTAATTTGAAAATTAAAAGGCTGATTGGTAAGCAAGGAATCAGAGGAAACAAAATTAGATAGTGCCGAGGGATATTTCATCAAGTCTCTGGAGAAGCCTGATAGAATTTTTTGTGCCCAGTAAACAGAATCCTTTTGTCTACCAGATTCAGCATTTCTCTGTCGTGGACAGGCTGGATAAACTCTGTCAAATTCTAGCTCTTTGTTTCCCCTTTTCTAGACCCCAATCAGAATACTCCTTTTCTACAGAACATTTTTTCTTTACATATGTTAATAAAATGGACTAGCTTTAGCTTGTGTTTTTGTTTCATCAGTTGGTTCACAGTTATGAAACTATATGAAACTAAATACCTGTGGCCACATAGATAAGATGTGGCAGTTTCTCATGTCTTTATACTTCATATTTACCATCTCTTCATGCAGGTTACATCTTATCCATTATATAGAACTTCTTAGTTGCTAGAAGAACCTTATCAGCAAGTTCTGTGGGGAGGACCTCATTATAATCTCCTATGTATTTAGTGTCCCTGGTACATTAAGTTTCATCTATTCATATTAATTCATGAATCTCAAAATAATCTCAAAAAACCCAAGTATTCCTTCCCAACTTGCTCTAAGTTCTCTATTCATTCTTCTTCTTTTTTTTAAAGATTTTTATTGGGGAATAAGGGGAGGGGAATAGTGTTGGGAATTGGGGAGAGGGACTAGCCAAGTTGTTGTTCTTCAATCTTCGTTGTGGAGGGTGCTAGTCGCCATCTGGCTTCCTGTCGACAGCTCATGGCCTCTAAGCTCAAGGTGCTGTTTTCAATCTTAGTTGCGGGTGGGCGTAGCCACCATCCCATGCGGGAGTCGAACCAGCAGCCTTGTTGTTAAGAGCACACAATCTATCCACTGAATGTGACCTACAGTGGCTCCCCTCCCAAGTGGTCCTGGGGCTGGTGCCCCCAGTGGCCAGCTTCAAAACGAGCTGGAGCATTACCCAGCTGCCTCCAAGTATGACACACCCAAGGGATGAATTGGGCACACATCAGAGTCCCACTGAAGTAGATCCTGCTCTGTAGGGTCAGCCCTCGCACAACAACTCTTCCATTGTAGTCAAGTCATCTTTACAACCAGTGAGCCCAAGGGTCAGTCCCTCCCATTGATGTTCAGTTATCAACCAAGGCTCAACTACAAGAGGAGGGCACACACAACCCATACAAGGGACACACCTGGAGCGTGTGGCTCAGGTGACCAGAAAGACTGCGCCACTGAACCCCACAACACACCTACTACATAAGGCCAGTCTACTAAGACCGGAAGACATAGCAGCCCTACCTAATACATAGAAACAAACACAGGGAGGCAGCCAGAATGGGGAGACAAAGAAACATGTCCCAAATAAAAGAACATATCAAAGCTCCAGAAAAAGAACTAAACAAAATGGAGACAAGCAAGCTACCAGATGCAGAGTTCAGAACACTGGTTATAAGGATGCTCAGTGATCTCAGGGAGAACTTCAACAGAGAGATAGGAAGCATAAAAATGGAGATGGAAACCATAAAAAATAACCAGTCAGAAATAAAGGATACAATAATGGAAATGAAGAATACATTACAGGGAATCAACAGTAGATTAGATAAAGCAGAGGATCCATCCAGTGATGTAGAAGATAAGGTAGCAGAAAACACCCAACCAGAACAGCAAAAAGAAAAAAGAATCCCAAAAATTGAGAGTTTAAGGGGCTTTTGAGGCAATATCAAGCATACCAACATTCGTATTATAGGGGTACCAGAAGGAGAAGAGAGAGAGCAAGTAATTGAAAACCTATTTGAAGAAATAATGACAGAAAACTTCCCTAACATGGTGAAGGAAATAGACATACAAGCCCAGGAAGCACAGAGAGTCCTGAACAAGATGAACTCAAAGAGGCCCACACCAAGACACATCATAATTAAAATGCCAAAAGTGAAAGAAAAAGAGAGAATCTTAAAAGCAGCAAGAGAAAAAGTTAGTTACCTACAAGGGAGCTCCCATAAGACTGTCAGCTGATTTCTCAACAGAAACTTTGCAGGCAAGAAGGGATTGGCAGGAAATATTCCAAGTGATGAACAGCAATGACCTACAACCAAGATTACTCTCTTCTAGCAAAGCTATCATTTAGAATTGAAGGACAGATAAGGAGCTTCCCAACAAGAAAAAGCTGAAGGAGTTCATCACCACCAAACCAGTATTACAAGGAATTTAAAGGGACTTCTTTAAGATGGGAGGGGGGGTTAAGGATGGGTGAAAGGGGAAGGGATTAAGAAGTACAAATTGGTTGTTATACAGTAGTCATGAGGTTGTAGGGTATAGCTTAAGGAATATACTCAATTATATTGTAATAACTAGGTATGGTGCCAGATAGGTACTAGATCTGTCAGGGTGATAGGTGGGAATGGGGTTGGGGGCAGGGCGATAAAGGTGAAGGCATTAAGAAATACAAATTGGTAGTTAATACAGTATGGGGATATATAATCAGCAATGCTGTAAAGATCATGTAAGGTGCCAGATGGGCACTGGACTTATCAGGGGGAATCATGTCATGGACTGTAGATGCCTGACCAATGCACTATACAACTGAAGCTGAAGTAGAATAATATTGAATGTCAACTATAACTAAATATATGGCATATATAGTCACGGGATGTGGAGTACAGCATAGGGAAGATAGTCAGTGGTATTGTAACAGCCATATAAGGTGTCAGAGGAGTAGTAGATTGGTGGGGTTATCACTTTATGAGGGGCTTAAATGTCTAACTATTATGTTGCTTTGTACACCTGAAATTAATTTAAAAAATAATGTGAAAAAAATAGTATATCTGTTAGAACCTTCCTTTCTATCTTGTTGGATTTTTTTTTCACAGTCTCTCATGCTTTTTTTTTCCTGACTTTTCTTACTACCATATTCTTTATCTTGCTTTTATCCATAGAGTTGATTGCTTTCTATTTGGAATATTCCAATTGCTATTTTTTTTCCCTTTTTGCCTTTGGCCCTAATTTGTTTGATTTCTAAATATGTAAAAATGGGTAAGAAAGCAAAACTTACTTCTCTTTTGCTAATTAAAAAATGAAAATATTTGGGGTTGAGAAGATAATAAGTTTTACTTTTTCTTTCAGTTACCAAAGAAAAAATTTTAAATGTAGAAAACTAGAAAAGAAAATAATCATCCATATTCTACCACCCAAAAAATATGGTGGTTTTTTTTTTTGTGTTCCTTTATCTTTCCCCCATGCATATATGTTTATATAGTTAAACTTATGATCATGCATTGATAATATAATTACTATATATTTTAATTTTTTTTAAATTGAGGAATTGGGGAACGGGAACAGTGTTGGGGAATTGGGAAGGGGACCAGCCAAGTTGTTATTCTTCAAGCTCAGTTGTGGAGGGCGCCAGTTGCCCTCTGGCTTCTTGTCGGCAGCTCGTGGTCTCTACGCTCAAGGTGCTGTGTTCAATCTTAGTTGCGGGTGGGTGTAGCCACATCCCATGTGGGAGTCAAACCAGCAGCCTTGTTGTTAAGAGTGCACGCTCTATCCACTGAGCCATCGGGTGACAGTTCAGCTCAAGGTGCCGAGTTCAATCTTAGTTGCTGGCGGGCATAGCCCACCATGGAACAGGCAATCTTGTTGTTACACCAGCTGAGCCATCCTGCTACCTGTTGGCAGGTCAGTGGCAGCTCAGTTCGAGTGCAGCGTCACTGGCCCATGTGGGAATTGAACCAGCGGCCTGCTGCTCAGAGCTCGCACTCTTAAGCTAACTCTTAACCAACTGAGCCACTTGGCTGGCCCTACGATATATTTTAAATTGATTTGGATCATGGTCTCAGCTTGGCTAGGAATGCATTAGTATCACTTAAAATTATATATATATATATATATATATATATATATATGTTTTATAATGATTTATTGAATGAAATGAATGAATCCTTGCCCCCTGTGTGGGCCTCAATTTTCTCATTTCTTAAGTGGTAAAATTAATTTACAAGAGGTTTTGTAAGGATCAATGAAACACTGTAAATGTTCAAAGTAGCTAGGTCTGGTCATAACTGTCACAATATTTTCCTAGAGAGCATTGCTGGAGAAGAGGCAGAGGAAAAAGCGCCTGGAGCCTCTCATGGTACAGCCCAATCCAGAAGCCAGGTTACGCCGATTAAAGTCAATAGCTAGTGAGGAGCAGACTCCTTTGGTGGAACCTCAGACCCCTCACAGCAGTGTCATCTTGCATGGTGGGTATTCACGCAGCATCTCTAACTGCTGGGGTACAGTTTTTACAAACCTTAGAGAAGGCAGGCATCTTAGACAGACCAAAGAAACAATAATGGTGTCATTACTAGGCTACCTTCATAAATTATTATAATCAAATTCTGAGTCTTTCAGTTAGAATAAAAGCAATGGTCTAATCAGCAGAAGATACCTTAAAGTTTATGTCCATCCTAGAACTGTTGTTTTAGATGCCAAATGAATTACTCCAGGATAGCCTATTTGAGGAGCTTGTAGTCTTGATTGTTACATCATGGCAGAGTTAATCTTGAAGCCAGGAGTAGGTAGAAAGCATCCATGAGATAGGACTCATCATCTGAGATGATGAGGGGAAGGAAGTGGAATACGATTAAAAGCCTCTAAGTCAACCCCCCTGAGCTATTGGCTTGGACAGGATTTGAACTTTGGAGGACCTACTTTGTTTTCATAGTCTCAATCTTAAGTTTCTAAAGACAGCATCAAGTACATTTTACTTTAGTAAGAGTCAGAGCACGTATATAAAATGAACATCAGTCCTGGATTACTCTGTTAACAAATATCCCCATGGATGTTACGGAAAGAGAAGTGAAATGGTTTGGGCTTCTTAATTCTCATCACATACATCAAACCCATGCAGCTAAATAACGGGTTCTACTTTCTCTTTCGCCTTTTCTCGTGGCCCCTAGGCATTGACGGCCCAGCTGCTTTCCTGAAGCCAGATGCTCAAGATTTGGAAACCAAACTTCATGTTGTCTCAGCCGGCTCTTCTGCTACAGAAGAGGATACCGAAGGAAGTGTTGATGGCGAAAGCAGTTTGGACACTGCTTCCAAGCCAGATCTTCAGGAGATTCTCCAAAAACACGGTGAGGGTTGGTCATAGTCTTCAGGCATTTAATCATCTTAGTCATTTATAATCTTTTTCTTTACTATCTTTCATTGTTGGTTAACAATCTAGATGACACAAAATTGCGTGTAATGTGGCTTAGGGCTTTACAGAGGCGACAGTATTAGGCATCTTTGACATCTGAGAATTGGTCATCGTCAACAATAGTATTTATCCTATTGCCTGAGAAAAATAAATCAATTGAATCAAAGGTAAAATATCAGCAGCATTAGCTACTATATATGACTCTTTCTTTCTTTTTGATGTTTTTAGTCCCTACCCTCTTCCTTTGACAAGGTTGCCACTTGACACCCCTACTCTGCCTCCATTTCACAGTTTTATATTGATCTAGAGATACAGGGAGAGATAAACAGCCAGCTTAATGGAAGCACAATTTGAATCAAAATAAACTTCAGCTAATACTTTTTCACCTGGAGCCTACTTTCTGGCAGTTGGAGTTACCATTTCCATAAATAGTTCTATATATTTCATAGGTTCTTTTTAGTCTTTTTTTCCTTCTTAGAAAAATAACTTTATAGGAGAAAGAATTCAGTGTCCCCTTTTCAAATGAGAAGACTGAAGCCCAGTAATGAATAAATATTTATTAGATACCTACTTTGTAATAGGTAGGTATTGCTAGGTCCTCTGCTGTATGAAGATTTACAACAGAATGGTAGAATAGATGCACATTAAAACAAATGCATATACGAGGTGTGATAAAAAATATGGCGAATGCTGCTGCCGAATGCCATCCAACAGAAAGGCAGGGATCTTCAATACAGAAAGCGGCACATTGAACCTTAGTAGCAGTGTGTGACAAGTTTCAGCTTATTCGGTGCAGTCAATTGGGTGTGAGCTACGGCTGGGAGAAGGTGTGTTTTAAAGTGTGCTGTAAATCATCCTCCATCATGACAATGCTCCGTGTAATACATCACTTCTGGTATACAGCAATTTCTGTCAAATAAAAACATTATGGTGTGTCCTCATCCACCTTATTTATTTTTTTTAAAAGATTTTTATTGGGTAATTGGGGGGATGGGAACAGTGCTGGGGAATTAGGGGAAGGGGAACAGACAAGTTGCTGTCGTTTTTTGTTCTTCAGTCTAGTTGTGGAGGACGCTGCTTCACTGGCCCAAGTTGGCACCATCATTGCGCTCTTCCCTGGCGAGGCAGATCAGTCGCCGGCTTCTGGACGGCCGCTCACTGCGGCTGCTGGCTGCTCACTGCGGCTGCTGGCTACATACGGTAGCCCATGGCAACCCACTGCCACAGGGACTGCAGCCTATGCCGTCGCCAGCAACTCACGGCAGCCCAGCTCCAGGTTGAGCTGTTGTTCAGCATCTTAGCTGTAGAGGGCAGTGTCACTGGCCCTCATATGTGGGATCCGAACCGGGGCCCTCTGGCATCCCAAGCGAGCTCTTAACCATCGCGCCACTCGGCCGGCCCCCTCATCCACCTTATTCACTGGATCTGGCACCATGTGATTTCTGGCTCTTCCCCAAAGTCAAAATGATTCAGGACAACAAGGCAGCCACAACAGCGCAACTAAAGACTCTCACGAAAGAGGACTTCCAGAACTGCTTCAGAAAGTGGCAAGAACGATGGTGTAAGTGTGTTCAAAGTGAGAGGGAGTATTTTGAGGGGGATTAATAACAATGTCTTTTACTGTAATAACTTTTTTTAAATTTAGACAGTCACCGTATTTTTTTTACCACACCTCATATTCATTTAGAAATATGTACTGAGTATATACTATATGTCAGCCATTGTTCTAGGGACTTAGGATACGAAAGTAAATAAGGTTCCTGACCTCATGGAGCATTTATTCTGATTGAGGCTTCATGCACTTAAATTGAGGTTTCATGTACTTAAGTATTAAGTAGCCAAGAGAGCATGGAGAGGGTTGCCTAGCCCAGAGTTGAAGGTTTGGAAAGCTTTCCAGAGAAAAGTGACGTCTAAGCTAGAGCCTGATGGAGCCGGCCGAGTGGCACATTGGTTGGGAGTTGGCTTGGGACGCCAGCTCTGAGCAGCAGGGTCCCGGTTCGGATCCCACATTAGGGCCAGTGACGCTGCGCCCTCTAGGCTGAGATGGTGAACAACAGCTCGACCTGGAGCTGGGCTGCCATGGGTCGCCAGCAATGGTGTAGGCTGCAGTGGAGCTGCAGTGGGCTCTCTCGTAAGCTACCATGAGTGGTCGGCAGCCGGCATGAGCTCCCAAGAGCCTCCATCCCGTGGCTGGTGACTGATCTGCCTCACCCGGGAGGAGTGCGGTGATGATGCTAACATGGGCCAGTGAGGCGACGTCCTCCACAACTAGACTGAAGAACAAAAGGACAGCAGCTTGTCTGTTCCCCTTCCCCGATTCCCCAATGCTGTTCCCCTCCCCCAGTTCCCCAATAAAATCTTTTAAAAATAAAAAATGAAAAGATAAGCTAGAGCCTGAGGCAGGAAGAAGTGGCCAGTTCAGAAAGGCTGGAGTTGACAGTAGGACATGATAAGATTTGGAAAGGAAATATAGAGAGAGGAGTCTAAAGAGGTAATTAGGCTCTTAATTAATAGGACATTATAGGCCACATTAGGAATTTGAACTTTAAAGAGTAATAGGAGCTGATGAGGGTTTTTAAGTGAGAAGTGACATAATCAGATATGAGCTGTAGAAAAATTACTGTGCACCATAAAGAATGAATTGGGAGTGGGGCAAGCCTGGAAGCAGGAAAACGAATTAGGAGATGGTTTGGCTTGTCCTAGCGTTATAATGTGGTGTATGCAAGAGCAGAAAACGGGAGAAATAGAATTACACTGACGGCAATGAAAAAGGGGCAAGAAAGGCATCGCAAGGCGGTGATGATTCAGCTGAGCTGTGAAGGATGCATGTCCTCCTGTGCCCTGGTGTCGTGTGGAAGCAGCTGGACACAGACGTTTTGAATGTCAGGCATTTGGCATGCATTATTTCAATTAATATTTATAACAGTACTTTGAGGGGTTTATACATATTAGTTTCTCTGTTTTACATATAAGAAAATTAGTTATCAGAGACTGAATAATTTGTTAAGTGGTAAACTTGGGCAGAAGAAATGACATGTGCAGAGGTGTCAGGTCTGCAGACTGTGACAGGTGACCAGGGTGTAGGGGTGGCAGAGGCTGCTGAGTGGAATGGATTGGAGCCAGCGTGCCTGGTTTGCATCTCAGCTCTGCCACATCTGGCTGGGAACGGGCAAAACACCTTAACTTTCCTGCCAGTTCCCCTGTCTATAGTAAGAATTTGACCTTGGTACTTCATATGACTTTACTACCACTATTACAACAAAAGAAAGAGCAAAGAGAACTTCCAGTTTAAACGAAAGCTAACTTACCCTAAGTCATCCAGCTAAATCATGGCAGACCTAGACTAGACTTTCTGATTCTTAGTCTAGTTCTTGATCCCTTACTGTAAATACCAAAGTGCCCCTTTTTACCTGCCCTACTAAGTGTCTGCTGTGTTCTTTCTCAGAATTGGCCTTTCTGTGCCAGATGCATTAATGCCTTTCATGTCTCAACAGGTTGCATCTTGACCTAAAACCCATCAAGTGCTCTCTCTTGATTAAGATTCAAGAGGTGTCAGCTTGGCAGGTTATGACCCTTAAGTGGGTCCAATTTGCTTGTCTTACAAGTTTGAGAGAAATCTTTGATCTCCATCTTAAGACACATACTCACAGAAACTCAATTCTTGGTATAAAAATGGCATTTGAAAACATAGTACTAAGTGAAGATATCCACATGATAGTGAGATCCCAAGAGTTTTATGCCTTTTTGCTAGCAAAAAAGGTTACTATTTTAGAAAACAAAAGAAAAAATGTCCTTTATAAACCAAAGAATTGTTTTATAATAACTTTATTGGGCTATAATTCACATGCCATATAATTCTTCTATTTAAAGTGAACAATTCATTGGTGTTTAGTATATTCGCTGAGGTCTGCAACCATCACAGTCAATTTTGGAACATTTTCATGACCCCACAAAAAAACCTCATACCTGTTAGTAATCACTTCCCATTTCTCTCCATCACCCGCACCCGCCCTAGCAACTTCTGATCTCCTTTCCTTCCATCTCTGTGGATTGGCCTATTCCCGGTATTTCATACAAATAGAATCATACACTATGTGGTCCATTATGACTGGCTTCTTTCAGCTAGCATAATGTTTTCAAGGGTCATCCACGTTGTAGTATGGGTCAGTACTTCACTCCTTTTATTGTTTTTTTTTAAACTGGAATAATTTATTAACAAAAAGTACAAAGTATGGAAAATTAGTATACTTGAATCGTTTCAGAGAGTAGAGAAAGTATCACGCTAGCAGATTTCTGTTTTTAGCACCTTTGAACAGAAATATTCAGAGTGAAGACAAGTGGTAGCCAGGCCTCTGACCGACCACCTATGGTGAGTGAGTCCTCTTGACTTAGGGTGTGCAGCGCATAGAACAGTGCAGTCACCTAGGTTTTTCTCTACATTTTGAGAGTGCACCAAAGAACGCTTAAAGAGAATGACAAAGGTGTTCACTGAATCATGGCTGGTGGTTAGAAGATGGAAGAGAGTTGCTGAGACAAAGGAGTAGCTGGCGGGCGGACGAGGAGCTCAGATGGACAGTCCGAAGGCGCTGACGATGCAGTACATGGTCTTGTTCTCCCATCGCACGGTGCAGCTCCCGTCAGTAGAGCTGTCCCAGAAGCAAGAACTCGCCGTGTGTAATCCTGCTCCATTCTTCTGCATAATTACACAGGTCACAATGTATTTAAATGGTTTTCCCAGCTTGGTGAGCTGGCTTAACGTTTGCTCCACTACATTTGTGGTCCACTGATTCACTTTGCTGTGCTGGTAGGCGTTGCCACCAATTGAACCTTCTATGGCCCCTTTCACAATGTTGCTCACTTCATCAACAACAAAAGCAGTCTCTTCTGCAGACTGAAAGTCTTCCATCTTTCCGCCCGCGCGTCGCCTCTGCCTTCTTGAGTAGAGCGCACTGCACCGGCGCTGGTAGGGCCCGCCCCTAGTGCCCTTTTATTGTTGAATAACATTACGTTGTGTAGATATGCCATACGTTATCTTTTCATCATTTGATGGACACCTGGGTTGTTTCCACTTCTAGCTAGTATGAATAATGTTGCTATGAACATTCATGTAAAAGTTTTTGTGTGGAGATATGTTTTCACTTGAGATTTTCTAACTGGCCTTTGCCTTATCCTTGAATGTCCTGGAGAAAAGCTAACACCAATTTATTTTGTTAACTATGTAAAAATAGATCTTCGTTGTCCCTCTTCTGAGATGGTTGAATATGGGCAGGAAACGGTTTGGAGAAAAAAGCCACACTGCTTGTTATAAATTTATGATTTGGTAGCTACTTTAACTATTATATGAGGTATAATGTCACCATGCAGACTAAGGAAAAAAAAGAATTTAGTTTTGGTCTTAGTTCTGCCTCTTTCTCTTGGGCAAATGACTCTCACATGTAAATATGAGTACCGTACTTCCTTTATAACACACATCACGTTTTATTCTATGTCTGTGTTCCTTTCCAGCTACTCATAAACAAACAAGAAACAAAACAAAAAATAAGACTACCAGTGTCTCCTCCTCAAACTCATATAAATACGAGGATAAAACGAAAAAATAGGTTTTAATCAAACAGTTGTTAATTTTCTATAAGAGGTGCTTCATAAATCCAAGGTAGTAGCAGTTCAGATATTCCCAACTCAAATTAGTTAATTAGACTAAAAATGAACAAAATGCAGGGAAAAAAGTGACTGATATAGAGAACAATGGATCATTGAATTTTTTTTATTGTGATAAAAATACATAACATAAAATTTGCCATTTTAAACATTTTTAAATGTTCAGTTCTGTGGCATTAAGTACATTCACATTGTTATGCAACTATCGCCACTACCCATCTTCAGAACTTTTTCATTATCCCCAAATAAAATCTGTACCCATTAAACAGTAACTCCCCATTCTCCTCTTTCCTCAGCCCCTGTCAACCACCATTCTACTTTCTGTCTCTATGAATTTGACTATTCTAGGTACCTCATGTAAGTGGAATCATACAGTATTTGTCCTTTTGTGTCTGGCTTATTTCACTGAGCATAATGTCTTCACGATTCATCCATGTTGTAGCATGTATCAGAATTGCATTCCTTTTTAAGGCTGAATAATATTCCATTGTATGTTTACACCACAATTTGTTCATCCGTTCATCAGTTGGTGAAAATTTGAGTTGTCTCCACCTTTTGGCCATTGTGAATAATGCTGCTCTGAATATCAGTGTACAAGTGTCTGTTTGCATCTCTGCTTTCATTTCTTTCGGGTATATCCCAGAAGTGAAATTGTTGGATCGTATGGTAATTCCATATTTAATTGTTTTAGGAACCACTATGCTGTTTTCCACAGTGGCTGCACAATTTTACAATGCACAAGGGTTCCAATTTCTCCACATCTTCACCAACACTACTTTCTATTTTCTTTTTATTTTCTTTTATAATAGCCATCCTAATGCTTGTGAAGTGGTATCTCATTGTGATTTTGATGTGCATTTCCCTAATGACTAGTGATGTTGAGCATCGTTTCATGTGCTTAATCTTCATTGGAGAAATGTTTATCCAAGCCTTTACTTATTTTTGAATTGGGTTGTTTGTTTTGTTGAGTTGTAGGAATCTTTATATATTCTAGATATTAAAACTTTATCAGACACATGATTTGCAAATACTTTTTCCCGTATACCTAATGTTTTGAAGAGCTAAATTAGGGTGGCAGCAGTGGGAAAGGAAAACAGGATGTATTTGAGTGAGAATATGAAGAAAGAATTGTCAAAACTTGGATAAAGTAGCTGTTTTAAGTCAGAATAGTTTTAAGCAAGAAAATTTAAATTCCCTTTGGTTCAAAGATTTCTTTTTTAATCAGTTTTGTTGACAGTTCTTCCTTCTCTTCCAGGTATCTCAGGTAGTTTGAACTTTGATGAGGAAGAAACTGATGGAGAGGAAGAAGGAGAAAAATCAAGATCTCATTCACCATATTCAGAGGCAGAGAAACTCAATTCTACCTCCAGCCAGAAATCAACCATAGTATGTAGCTCTGAAAGGTCTTCCTTTGGAGCTAAGGTAACTATTTCCCAAATATATTTTCAGCATTTAAATACCATTATTGAATGAGGTTGCTTCAAAAGATTTAAGCTCAAATTTAGACTTAAAGTGCATGACCTCTCTAATTTCTTGTGTGTCAAGCCAGCTATTGTGAAGCTCTGTCCCATTTTTGTTCGTAGCTCCTTCATTATTCCCAATGTTCATATACTTAACTTCTCAGAAGCCTGAAGACATGGGGGTAAATCAGTAAGTTATTTTATCCATTAAGTGTTTCTCAAAGAGAATAGGAAGTGTTCCGACCCCCCCCCACCCCTTTGCTCATGTATGGCTGTTCTTTCAGGATACTGGAGCTGCCGGCACTGCCGCCCAACAGCCTGATAACCAGCTGGGAGAAGTCGAGAACTTAGAGGACTTTGCTTATAGTCCTGCCCCTCGAGGCATCACGGTCAAGTGTCGGATAACAAGGGATAGGAAAGGAATGGATCGGGGTCTCTTCCCCACTTACTATATGCACTTGGAAAAGGATGAAAATCGGAAGGTATGAGAATTGATTCTTAAGACACATCTTGAGAGGGGAAGAATGTGGTGGGACTAGATTGTTGATGGGTCTTGGGACAGGATAACACTGGCTTCCGGCTGCTCACGCTGGCTGCCGACCACACATGGTAGCTTACGGCAGCCCACTGCAGCTTCACTGCAGCGTATGCCGTCACCGGCGACTCACGGCAACCCAGCTCCAGGTCGAGCTGTTGTTCACCATCTTAGCTGTAGAGGGCGCAGCGTCACTGGCCCTCATGTGGGATCCGAACTGGGACCCTGCTTGCTGCTCAGAGCTGGCGTCCCAAGCCAGCTGTTAACAAACGCGCCACTCGGCCGGCCCAGGATGAAGCTTTTTAAAAAGTCACTGGAGGTTTTAGCGATAAGGTTGTAAATAATTGTATAGAGAACCAAGCCAGCAAATTTAGAAAAGTTTTACAGTGAGTAAACCCTGACAGTGAATTCCAAGAAGCATTACGAGGGTTAGGAAAAGGAATAAAGACCCAGGGATTGGTCTTCTCTGAGGAAACACCAGTGCTGCAACAGGGAGAGACTCCGGGCACCCTGGTGGGACGCCTCGGTGACTGCTATCTGGGGTGGGAGTTGAGGCCACGGAGCAAGGCTGAGGACAAGTAATCGATGCCCCTCACCAAGCTGGGTCGTCTGGTCAAAGACATGATCAGGTTCCTGGAGGAGATCTGTCACTTCTGGCTGCCCACCAAGGAATCTGAGATTATTGGGTTTTTCTCCCTGGGGGCTCCCCTCAAGGATAATGTTTTCAAGATTGTGTCCATCTGAAAGCAGACTCATGCTGGCTAGCAGACCAAGCTCAAGGCATTTGTCACCATTGGAAATTACAACGGACATGTTGATCTGGGTATTAAAGGCTCCAAGGGGATGGATACTGCTATCGGTGGGGCCATGATGCTGGCTAATTTCTCCGTAGTCCTCATGCAGCAAGGCTCCTGGGGGAACAAGACTGGCAAGCCCCAAACTGTCCCTTGCAAGGTGACTGGCCAATGTGGCTCTGTGCTGGTGGCCTCATCCCCACTACCAGGGGCACTGCCATCGTCTCAGCCCCTGGGCCCAGAAGCTGCTGCTCATGGATGGCATTGAGGACTGCTACACCTCAGGCACGGGCTGCACTGCCACCCCGGGCGACTGTGCCAAGGCCACTTTTGATGCCGTCTCCAAGACCTGCTGTCTCACCCCAACCTCTGGAAGGAGACCATGTTCACCAAGTCTCTCATCAGGAGTTCACTGACCATCTTGTAGAGACCCTCACCAGAGTCTCCGTGAAGAGGCCCCAGGCCCCAGCTGTGGCTACCACATAGTTTCATACAAGAAGAATAAAGTGAATCAATTCTGTTTTTCAAAAAGAAAATCCAAAGATTTGACTGCTTGGTACATGATAGGCATTTGCTAAACGTTTGCTAAGTGACTAGATAGAAGAAACCATGGCGAGTCTCTTGATTTCACTTTTAACTGACATTTTTTTCTTTTTACAGATATTTCTGCTGGCAGGGAGAAAGCGGAAAAAGAGCAAAACATCCAACTACCTTATCTCCACTGATCCAACAGATTTATCTCGTGAAGGTCAAAGTTACATTGGCAAACTCAGGTGAGAGCAGCCTTGTATCACTGTCCTGTTCTTTCTGATACTTTTATTCCTGTCATAAAAAATAATATACATGGAGCCACTTTAAAATGGAGCTGGAGCTGCCATCCCGGAGGAACTGCCTTATATGTCTTATGCCTCAAACCTTTGGAATGTTAAAACAGGGCAAAGTAACCTTTGGACCAGGCCTAAAGCAACACTGTGTCCCTAAGAACTATTTGCAAGGATAACAAGAAAGCAGATATTATGACTACTGGACTGATGACTACCAGACTGAAAATTAAAAACATTGTTTAGAATTACTGTCACCACACTAGCTTATCTGCACCGATAGAAATGCCTGCTTTCAACTGATGCAGTTGTTCCCTTTCCCTTTCTCATAAACACCCCTTGCCTCTGTCTCCTAATCAGAACACTATTTGTGTTTCTGCTTGAATCAGTGCTTCCTGAATAGCTGTTCTTTTTGATCTCAAATAAATGCTGGTTGCCTCTCACTTTGGTCTTTTATTTTTAGGTTAACACTGTACTTGCACAACAATCCATATTTTTTTTCTACAGTGAGTTTGTAATGAAGTTGTAACCTGAAGAAAACACGTTAAAAGAAAATCTAAGTCCTTTCTTTGTTTTAATGAGAGATCTTTGAAAAAGTGATGGTGAACATTTAGACATTTGGAGAACAAGCAAATAGGCTTCCACTCTGTTACATACTTGTATGTCTCCTAGATTGTGTTTGCATAAGTGAAAAATTAGATCATTATGGTGTCATTTTCTTTTCACTCTAGGTCCAACCTCATGGGGACCAAGTTTACAGTTTACGACCACGGTGTCAGCCCCAAGGCCAGAGGCCGGGTAGAAAAGACCCATACCCGGCAGGAGCTGGCAGCCATCTGTTACGTAAGAACCACACTCCTTATGTGCTGTTTTCTTTTTTTTTCTTTTTTTTTTTTTTTTTTTTTTTTTTTTTTTTTTTTTTTTTTTTTTTTTTTTTTTTAGTTTTTTTTTTTTTATTGGGGAATTGGGGGGATGGGAACAGTGCTGGGGAATTGGGGGAAGGGGAACAGACAAGTTGCTGTCGTTTTGTTCTTCAGTCTAGTTGTGGAGGACGTTGCTTCACTGGCCCAAGTTGGCACTATCGCGCTCTTCCCGGGCGAGGCAGATCAGTCGCCAGCTTCTGGACGGCCGCTCACGCTGGCTGCTGGCCGCTCACGCTGGCTGCTGGCTATAGACGGTAGCCCATGGCAACCCACTGCCACAGGGGCTGCAGCCCACGCCGTCGCTGGCGACCCACGGCAACTCAGCTCCAGGTTGAGCTGTTGTTCAGCATCTTAGCTGCAGAGGGCAGTGTCACTGGCCCTCATATGTGGGATCCGAACCGGGGCCCTCTGGCATCCCAAGCGAGTTCTTAACCATCGCGCCACTCGGCCGGCCCTGTGCTGTTTTCTTAATCTCCCATGTCCTGCCTGTACTTCAAACTTAATGTAACCAACTCCGAACTCGTAATCTTCCCTCCCAAGCTTGTTTCTATTCCTGTGATCCCCTTTTCTGTTGCTGGTATAATTTTCTCTAAATATTCAGATTTTCATTTTTTATGAATTGCCAAGTTCAGTTATTTTTTTTACTCTCTTAAGGTGTCTTGACTTATCTGCTCTTCTCTCTCCCGAATGCCATTGTATTAACCCAGACCTTCATTCCTTCTTACCCACTGGCCAGAGGTTACAATAAATTAGAAACTGGTCTCTCTGTTTTTAGCCTTTTCCTGTCTGGTCCATTCTGTACTGCTGCCAGATAAATCTTCCTAAGACAGAGCTCCAGTTAAGCCTGCTGCGCTTCTCACCATGTATGAAGCCCTAACACGTTAGCCTTCCTTTCTGGCTATTCTGTGGCACTCTCCCTGTCCTGTTCTAGCCCCGTAGCCCTCCTGTCGTTCCTTTGCTGCACCATGACCTTCCCTCACCTGAGAGCCTCCCCCGCCCTTTGCCAAATCACCTGATGTCATCAGGGAAACCTTTCCTGACCACAAGATGTGGTTGACATTCCTCTATGACATCCCCATGGCACCCTGTGCTTTCTCTTGAACCCAGCTTATACTTAATAACCTCATCAGCATGAACCTTCTCTACCAGTTTGTAAATTCCTACTCACTGCTTCATCCACACAGATTCGGGGCCTGGCGCGTGTAGCAGGCATTCAGAGAGTTGTGGAGGAAAGGAGAGCAAGAAGGAATTAACCCAACTCAGCTGTTGCTTTATCCCAAAGCCTCAACATTTCTTCAGTTGTAATTAATCTCATTATTTGATTCCTGTGAGATTTTATCTAAGTGACTGAGAACCATTTGACGTAACACTTTGTAATTGTATTTTTCTCTTAGCTTCAGAATCAGTGAAATATTTTAACTATGCATGACTGTCGTGTGTGTGTGTGTGTGTGTGTATATGTATATGAATACACACACAAACATATCCACCTCCTTAATGTGCTTATTTTGTTCATATATGATGTGCCTGGGTTGACAGGCATTTGAGGTTTTTGCCTCCTGATACAGCTTATTTAATTTACACTGTAATTCTCATTGTAGATCATATAGCGCCATGCCCTCATGGGAAATAAATATTTATTGATTATGACAAGATTGGATGGTTTGCTCATAGTTGTCTCAAAGTTCACTTAAGATTAAAGAATAAGAGTAAAGTTTCGAGCCAATAGAATCTATTTTAAATTCAAGTGTTCAAATTAGGTTTAAAAAGAGGTGTAGCATCCCTTTCCTGGTCTTGGTTCTCTGTCTCTCTTTAACTACAGTAATAATAAAATAGCTTTTAGTGCTCTTGACATTGTCAACAGTTTACATGGCCAAGAAAGTCTGTGCCAAGAATGTGTTCTCGTTTTCCTTTCTGTTTCCAAATCCTGTCTTATTTTCCTATCTTCCAGGAAACAAATGTACTTGGATTTAAAGGTCCTAGGAAAATGTCTGTGATCATTCCAGGAATGAACATGAGTCATGAACGGATCCCATTTCGGCCACAAAATGTGAGTAAGAACATATATAATCAGCAAAGGACTCTAAAGGACAAGAATATACAGAAGAGATAAACTCCCAAATCATTGATTCTTCCCGAGCCCCAGGCTAGGGTGTTGTTCATACTCTTGTTTGGGAGACCGTCACCCCAGAACCTCAGAGTAAGTGCAGTCGCAGAGCAGTGGCTGAAGCACTTGATTTGCAGCCACTTAGTCCACACAGAGAAACTAGATCATCTGTATGAATCAAAACAAAGCCAAAAACAGCTGGCTTCATTTTTGGCTTTTTTTGTTTCTGTTTTCCCTTTTCTGAAATGGAGAACACTCTCCCCTACTCTACCTTCTCCCTCACAGAGTTGAGAACAAATAGTTTTCTATGGTTCTCAGTACAAAGTAATGATTTTCCTTTTGAACAGGACCATGCAAACCTGCTTTCCAAGTGGCAGAACAAAACCCTAGAGAATGTGATTGAGCTGCACAACAAAGCGCCCGTCTGGAACGATGACACCCAATCTTATGTCCTAAACTTCCACGGCCGGGTCACTCAGGCGTCTGTGAAGAACTTTCAGATAGTCCACGAAAATGACCGTAAGCCCACAGGAAGGGCTAGGTGGGAAGAGGAGGAAGGATGTCCTTCCACGGCGGGGAAACGAGCACTTCCTATCATTGATGTTCTATGGTCAGGAGAGAATTATTTAAGAAACGATTTCTTTGGAAAGACACAACAACAGTTTTACAGTAAAACTTCTGAACTGCTGTGTTAAGAACAGAAGAGTGTGAGAGGTTTCTTCCTGTGGCCAGTCAGAGAAGCCTTAGGAGAGGCTGTTTAAAGGGAAGCAAATGCAAATGACCTCACTCAGTGAAGGGTCCTTTGTGCCGCCAGCCCACAGGCTGTGCTGTTCCCAGCAGGCCACTCTTGACTCTGCTCTCCTCTTACCCTTTTCATGCTGCTGGTCCAGAGTGGTCTCCCATTCTCTGTCTGGAGAGGAATCAGAATAGAAACGTTGCTCGTGCCTCTTTCCATTCTAATAAAAGTTTTCCCCTTTAATGAGACCTGCTGATTCTGACCTATTGGGAGGATTTTTTTTTCTGTATCTTAACAGGCTTTCTCTCAGTACAACCCCATTATCTTCTAACGTCCTGTTTCCCTTCTGTTTCTAGCTGACTATATAGTCATGCAGTTTGGACGTGTGGCCGATGACGTGTTCACCCTGGACTACAACTACCCGCTGTGTGCACTTCAGGCCTTTGCCATTGGGCTTTCTAGCTTCGACAGCAAGCTAGCGTGTGAATGAGACGCAAGCACGTACACGTGGGGCTAGGCTTCTCACCACAGACCTCTCAGGAGCAGATGGTGGCCTCCCTCTGCCCTCGCCCCAGCATATGAGACAATCTGCCCCTTTTGGAATGATCCCTGAATGGGTGTATGTGTATATATGTGTGTGTATATATATGTGACACACACTTCTCTGGGTGTCACAGACATGGTCGAGGATTACAGTTTAACTTAGGTGAGGGATTAGTCAAAGCACAGGGAGGGTCTTGTCCAGTGCACATAGGTGACTCCCGATGTTATTGCCTAATAGATCCTGTACTTTGAGAGTCAGATTTCCTGTGCTTGGAAACTTGAAGCTAGAATCAGGTTCTAATGATTAAATATTTGGGTCTCTTTTTTGGAAGACGTTTTCAGAGAGTTCCCTAAATTGCCTTTAGTCTCCAGGTCTGTAGACCTTTTCTACAAATGGCCAGGTAATCTCTCTTAAAACTACTTCGCTCTGTCGTTGTACTGCAAAGGCAGCCATGGTCGAGTCATGAGCGTTTGAACACGTGTGACCACCTGCCGGTGAATATTTACAAAACCAGGCAGCAGGCCAGGTTTGGCCCATGGGCTGTAGTTTGTCAGTCTCTGCTTCAGGTATGTCTCTTTCACCTCTGGACTTGGACATCTTCCAACATGGGCCTGTGGCCATGAGATGATATGAGTGGGGAATGGATGTCTCCAGGAAGCAGCAGTCCTACAGATTGGATCTAAAGAGATCCTCGGCTACATTCACGGTTATGTAGCGTTACCTCGTTTTGGTATGATGGTTTTTAGAGTATCATCTACCACCAGAACTGGGAAACCCAAAGTCTGTGATCATTTTAAGTCCACATAGGTGGCTTAATTTGGCTATCCTACCCAACTTACCCATGGGAGAAGGCAGTGTCAGCTACTTCACCTACCATAACAGAAGAACTTATGCTCACTAAGAAACAAATCTAGAATTGTCTTTATCAGAGGGAGTGTGGTATTTGTTTCTTAGAGCTAGCTTGTTGTCCCCTTGGGGCTTAGAAGGTACTGATGTCACAGGGCCCCACCTCCCTTTCTTCCCCCAAAGCAGATTGGCTGGCACCAATCTCAAAGTGGCTGTGGCCAAATTTGTAATCAATGAAATGAGAATTTTATATAATTGTCTTAAATTTGGTTTAGGCTGAAAGCATAAACTCAAGAGATGACTTAGTCTAGTTAAGAATGAGAATAATTTGACAGTTGCCTTCATTTTCAACCCAGGAGTGCCTCCCACAATTGTATTATTATGAAGCCATTAGTATAGGGCAGCAGTTCTCAATCTGTGGGTCGCGACCCCTTTGGGGGTCGAATGACCCTTTCACAGGGGTTGCCTAAGACCATCGGAAAACAAAAAGATATTTACATTACGATTCATAACAGTAGCAAAATTACAGTTATAGAGTAGCAACGAAAATAATTTTATGGTTGGGGGTCACCACAACATGAGGAACTGTATTAAGGGGTTGCGGCATTAGGAAGGTTGAGAACTGCTGGTATAGGGGGACACACACACCTGTAGACCATGTCAGAACTGAGAGATCATTATATAGTGAAACTTGTTATTGTCATTATCAAGAGCAGTGTCAGGACAGGCTTCAGTGAGGACCAGCCAGCTGACTCTTGAGCTCTGCAGATCTTGTCGGGCACAGCTCTGGGCCTTTCTCCCTGATAGAACTATTATTAGCTCCCTGAAGCCTGGTTCACTGGTACAGCTCAAGCTCCTGTCGCTTGTCCTCACAGATCGTGAGAGTTTTGCTAAGTCGTTCAGATTATTAGCATCTCCCACTCCTGTTGCTTGTCCTCACAGATCATGAGAGTTTTGCTAAGTCGTTCAGATTATTAGCATCTCCAAACAAATCTTGGCATTGCCACCAATTCAACAGTCTCAGTGTGTCAGAATCTTGAGAATCCAAGAACTTGGTACGTTCTGCATTCAGCATTGTTCAGTCCCCAAGCCTCTGTGCACTGAGCTGTTTACCAGCATGGGTCAAGGAAGCAGTGGCTGTTGCTCCATTAATCTCCCGTCTGTGGACTCCCCTTTCGTCTTGTTCCTTGCTCCCACCAAATAGCAATGTGAAGGAAGGAGACCTGGGCGATGAGAAGACCCTTCACATCACTCCTCCCCTGCTGGCAAGTGCCACCTGCTTTGTTTTGACATGATTGGTTTCCATCTCAGACATGCCTCCCATCAAGTGCCTCTTTCATAGAAGTGCCCAAAGCCCCTCAGACCTCCAGCACCACCATCCTGATGCTGTGTGATAAGCTGCCCTGGTTGAAAACAGAAAGCTGTCCACTTCTGTCCAGTTACAGTAGATGACAGCGTCTGGGGAATGAGTCTTGTGGGCCGATCGGATCTAAACCTGCTGCTCCCTGCTCGCTCTGGCTCAGAGACAAGACATATATACCCAGCTTTATTAGACTTACTGCTTAAGTATGTAGGTGATTGGTTTTATATAAGTCATATTTATACCTTTTGTATGCTATAGAAATAAACAAATAATTTATATAAAAATCAGAGTGTCACCATTCTTTGCAAATCCCCACCCCTCACGTAGTTTGTAATAATAATTTTCATAACGTGGCTACGTTGAACTGTTCAGTTCTTTGCAGCCAAGGAAGTGTCACCATAAGCTTCCATCACAGGGAAGAACAGGAGCCTGAGAAGCCTGCATTCCGGAGGCTGTCTAGACTCACCATACACAAGTCACTAAGAGTCCTGGAAGGATGATGGAGCCAAGAGCCAAGCGTAGAAGGGGCCGCGGAAGGGCAGGATCTGTCTTTGTCTGGATGCCTACACTGGTCAGCCTTCTGGGTCATCTTTCCTGGTATTGCTTACTGATTCAGCAGAAAAACAAATTAAATATCTAATAGTAAAATAGACCCCATCTCTTACCATTAGGTGTTCACGTTTTAAAGCTACCTTATATGGACAAGTTGAAAAAAGTATGCGTCCACAAGTCTAGGCTTTGCTACTCTTATTCGTGTCATACTTGTAGTGGTGAGCCCCATGGCAAGAAGCGGGATGAGCCTAAACCTCAGGATGAGAGCTGGAGTCAGGGTTTAAGTCTTAGAGCTTGATTTTTCTTTTCACATTCTTTTTGGCTAAGGTGTGTGGCTGGCCAAACAGGTTATTTGTGACAGTTTTATTCATGTTTCAGTGCCCAGGAATAATATCAACAGCCATTAACATGAACGATATCATCAAGTATTATTTAAAAACCTGAAACAGGTCTTGCAAAAGGCTCTTATTTGATCAGAAGTTTAGTCGACCATAAAAGAGATGAACTAGCCTTAATTCCCTTCCTTTAGATAGCATCACAGGTGCAGAAATAAAGCGATAGTTCGACTGAGGCAAGACCCCTGGGTTTGGGCCCCTTTCCTGCCAGTGATCTGCCACGTGCCTCTTTCCTCATCTTTAGATGGAGAGGCTTTGAATTACATGATCTTTAGTTTTTGAATTCTACGATTCTCCCCACTCACGCGGGCAACAATCTGGAATTCCTGTAGGTGTGTTTTGAATCGAGCTCTCTGGTTACTTACCTTCTGGACAGCTCCGTCTTGTTCATGGGTAGAGATACTGCTGGGAGGAGAATGTACAGACCTCAGGAGAATATCATGGATGCTTGAGCTCAGGAACTAGAGGGGGAGATCCTGAGCGTGTGTTTTGTTGGGAGATCCTGGGATGGTGGGAGTGCACGATGTGAGAGAAATATGATCTGATGCTGGGGAAGCGCAGGACCTCAGAGTTACTTTTTCTCAACCACTGGAGACCTTGCTGTATGGGGCAAACCTTGGAATGTTGCGAGCTGCCCTTCTCCTCAGCCCTCCACTCCACCTCTGCATAGAATGGCTCCTGCCCGTGTACTCATGTCATATGCCTGATTTCTGCTGCTTTCCAGTCCATTACCCCCCTTTTTTTTCTTTTAAGATTTTATTGGGGAATTGGTGAAGGGGAACAGCAGTGGGGAATCGGGGAAGGGGAACAGACAAATGGGGGAGGGGAACAGTGTTGGGGAATCAGGGGAAGGGGAATAGGTAAGTTGCTATCCTTTTGTTCTTCAGTCTAGTTATGAAGGATGTCGCTTCACTGGCCCATGTTGGTATTATGATCATTGCGCTCTTTCTGGGTGAAGCAGTCGCTCACTGGCCATTGGACGGCCACTCACAGTGGCTCACAGCAGCTGCCAGCCACTCACGCTGGTTGCCACACTTACGGTAGCTCAAGGCAGCCCACTGCAGCCCCGCTGCAGCCTACACTGTCACTGGTGATTCACGGCAGCCCAGCTCCAGGTCAAGCTGTTGTTCACCATCTTAGCTGTAGAGGGCGCAGCATCACTGGTCCTCATGTGGGATCTGATGGTAGCCCTGCTGCTCAGAGCTCACACTCCCAAGCCAACTCTTAACCAACGAGCCACTCGGCCAGCCCATGGTCCTTTTCTAAACATCTTCAGATGGACCCCGGCTGGGGGTTCGCCAAGCACTGGCTGGATTGCCCCATCCTTCAGGCACGTTTCTTGACCAACTGCATATTGGATGGTTTTGCCTCCTTTCCCCACTTGGGTTTCCTAGTTATCATAGTCAGTGGTTATTCTTTAAAAGTCTCACAGTTGTCTTTATAAACAAATAACTCTTCTCGTCCACAAAAACCTGAGTATGCCACCATAAATGCAGGATTTGCCTTTGGTGCTGTTAGAACTTTAGGCAAGCCCTAATTATACCACAGACGGTTTCATGGCACCACCTACTGACCAAGGATGCACATTACAAGTGCATTAAAATAAAGAGCTCAGATTCTGTAAAACAGGAGGGAGTCACAAAGGGCTGGGGTGACTTCTGCGATCGGACAGTGTAATGTACCTAGTAAACACCCTTGTGCTATGGCATGGCTCTTTAATGAAGGACTGAGAACAGCAATATTTCTGAAGTTTAGAAACCAATTGAGGTATTTCAGGTAAAATGCCTGGGATCTGGCCCATATTAAGCATTTGGTATTTTATTAATGTTCTTTTAATCTAGGAAAAGACATATGTCAGTTGACTTTTTCAGTTGTACAGAATGGTTTATAGATGCTCATAAAGCAATTATAAATGGTGTTCCAGGGACTATGATGAGAGGAAAATCAGAGCGGCATATCTGGGTAACTAAACATCCATGTTCTGGTCTCAGTCCCAATCCTACCTCACGTTCCTTACTTTGTGTCCATTTCTGTTTCTTTTTTTTTTTTTTAAAGATTTGTATTGGGGAATTGGGGGGATGAGAACAGTGCTGGGGGAATCGGGGGAAGGGAAACAGACAAGCTGCTGTTGTTCTGTTCCTCAGTCCAGTTGTGGAGGATGCCACCCCACCGGCCCAAGTTGGCACCATCACTGCGCTCTTCCTGGGCGAGGCAGATCAGTCGCCGGCTTTCTGGACGGCCGCTCACGCTGGCTGCTAGCTACATATGATAGCCCATGGCAACCCACTGCAGCAGGGGCTGCAGTCTACGCTGTCGCCGGCGACTCACAGCAGCCCAGCTCCAGGTCGAGCCGTTGCCCAGCATCTTAGCTGTGAAGGGCAGTGTAACTGGCCCTCATACCCTCATATGTGGGATCTGAACCGGGGCCCTCTGGTGTCCCAAGCCAGTTCTCAACCATCGCGCCACTCGGCCGGCCCTCCATTTCTGTTTCTGCTTGAAGGAACAGCCTGGGCAAAAGCTAGCCCTGATGTTTTTAAAATATGAAATGGGCCTCCCTGATTTGTTTCTGGCTCTGCATTGGTCTTTTGGTCCATCAGGTCCAAGCTCTTTTGTACGTTGCCTTCCAGCGTGGCTGTGGCCCAGGAGTTGGGGTGCAAGAAAAGAGTGAACCACATCGAGGTTGAAGTTGGGGGTGGGGACACAGAACTGCAGTGGGAGTGCTCCTGGTTGGTTACCATCTTCTATTACACGTTTCGGTTTAATATGGTGGTTCTCAAGCTTCTGAGTTATAACATCTAGTTAAGCACTATCTACCCAGATTTTGTCCCTTATGATTTTCAAAGATTCCAAGAGCAATAATCCAGTAGTTCTCTTTCTTCTGTAGCCTGAGGGCAGACAGGAAGGTTAGGAAGAAAGAATGGTCTGAGAGGAAAAAAGGGTGACAGGCAGAGGAGGGCTAGGAATTAGGTCAAGATCTTAAAAGTGGAGTCTACGTGTAATTTCTAGGGTATTAATGCACGCTCAGGACAAGCACATCAGTGTAAGATAGAAATACGACCTTAAAAACGTGCCTTTGGTCAGCCTTTTTGTTGTTCTGTATCAGATATATAGATAGATACAAATTGGTTTTTTTTTTTTAAAGATTTTATTGGGGAATTGGGAG